CCGATTCGAAGGTTGCCAGGTTAAGGTAAGGAGTAGTAGTAAGTTTAGGGTTGATTGGGAGAGGAGGAGGGGGAATCATTTCGAAATCGACACAAAAGAAGGCTTCTCAAAGGTTACAGGAGCAGCAGCAAAAAAAGCAAAAAAGAAAAGAAATGAGGAAAAACGCCCTTTCGGAAATAAGCAAAGGGAACCCCGCACACACGCGCAAGAAAACAGTAGCAGCAAAAACAAGACAATAAAAACCAGGCAGAGAGAGATGGAGAGAGAGAGACAAAGACAAAACAACCAGCCAGGCCAGGCTTATACGTGATATTCGCCGTAGGAGTGGGAAGGTTTTGGGGGTATAATTCTTTTCTCGTCGCACACGTACAAGAGACAATTGAACGCGTAGCGGTGGGGGTATTCTTCGTTAAAAGGCCGGGGGGTACAGTAGTGGTATCAAATAAATGGTTCGAGATTGTTGGTGTATCATTTAACGAGGAGGCCCAATAGGGGCCGGGTATCCAGATGCAGAATGAGAAGTGCTAGGGCGCCCGCTGTCCACGGAGCCCCGCGGATCGTACCGGGGAGTCACGTCCCCAGACGCCGCGGAAGAGGAACCAAAAGGAAACTTGGACTCAAAACGAGGAGCTGGCATGGGCCAGCCGTTGGTGTGGTGCTCATCGTCTGCTAAGTTGATGCCGCTGTCGTTCCACGGGTTGCGGTAGCTACCGGTGGACTCTAGGCTTGCAAGGGATGCCTTGGAAGCGTTGCTAGAAGCATGCTTGAAGAGCGATCCGGGTGAGTTGGTATTTTTACGTCCGTTGAAGATGGACGTGAACGATGACATGCTGCCTGGCTTGCGAAGGCGGTCTAGCATACCACGAGGCTCATCATCACCACCAAAGTGAGAGCGAGTAGGAGAGTCCGTGCTGTCGACAGCAGGCTCGGCACGCTGTAGAAGCTTCGACTCAAAGAAGGGCAGGGAGTCTTCGAAAGAGTCAGACTTGGGGCGTGGAAGCGCGCCACGAACCGTGTTAGTATCAAGCCCGTGCATGACGAGGTGATTGAGCAAGAAGTCAATTGCATCCTTCAAGCCACCAGCATTGTTGCGAGTGAAGACAATGTGGAAAGCCTCAACCTGCTCTTCTTTACCATCAATGGTTTCAGTCTGAGCTGGCTGGAGCTGGGCATCGACCTCATGTTGAGTCTTGAGTTTGTCAAGAATCTCAGCCTTGAATTCAGCGGAACGGATGTGCTCGCTAAGCTCAGTGGTTGAAGGGAAAGCTAGGTCGTGGGATTCTGGCACCATGCCCTGAGATTGGTTAGTGGGATGTCTTGGGATAGAATTGTAGGACAAAAAACATACCAAGAACTCATCGACTGCGAATGGCACCTGGTACTCAGGGCCAGACACAGTAACAATGTCGCTAGCCTCCTCAGTGCTAGGGAAGGTAATCTTGCAGTTAAACTTCTTCTCTAGCTCGTCAATCTTGTCTAGGCGGGCAATGAGCTCACGGTGGTACAAGCGGTTGATGTTGATAGTCTCAGAGACGAACTCGGCATCAGCCTTCTCAACCATATCCATGATCTCTTGCTTGACAAGGTCTAGGTTCTGAGCGTTACGCGCAGGAGTGCGGCAGATGACATTGTCAACCTTGATGTCGTCTTCTTCTTTGCCGAACCCACCACGATCCATGGCATTGGAGAACTTGACGAAGACGGAATACTTCTTCATGATGCGTTGGATATGCTGACCGCCGATGCCAATGATGCGCTTGTGGTACTGGTCAGGTACATGGAAGGAGATGGATGCGGGCATCTCCTGCTCTACAAGGTCTAAACCATTCTTTGTAGCTTCGTATTGAGCACCACGGACTACAATGTAGAAGTTGTACTCGTTGAAGCCATCGAAGACAATCTGGACACTGCTGTGGCTCATAATCTTGTTAATCTTGCCATTCTTCTTGCCGCTGACAAACTCCTTGTGTTCGTTGGCAAGCTCAATCTTGACGCTCATGTTGTACTGCGACTTCTTCACAAAGGGGATGTTACTGATGACCATGAGAGCAGCTCGTACAGCATCATCAGACCCATAGATATGGAAGTTGAGCTTCTCGAAACTGACTTCGGCACCAGAATTGATGCAGATGTCGGAGAGCATAGCACGAACGTCAGCTGGAGTGGGAGGACGTTGCGTAGGGTCAGGATGAGTGATGAACCACGATGCACTGTAAAACTGGCCGGCCTGAAAATTTGTAAGTAGATGCGTACAGTGGCAGACTATCAGAGACTTACAAGTTGCATGAGTTCGCGTACAGTGCGCTCAACGTGCAAGACGTCGGTGCCCTGTACGCGCACAACACCACGCTGAACACCAAGAGGAGGGAGCAGGATGTACGATCCATTGTTCTCGATGATCTTGCGGACCTTATCAAGACGTTCGAGCAGAATAGCGTCGAGCTTGGTGTCAGTGACCATGACGGGCTTCACGAAGACTTTGGTGGACATGACCAGATCATGCAGGCGTTGCTTAGCGCGCAATATGTTCTCGGAGTTTTCTCCCGTAATGTAGACTAGATCGTCGGGACGGCGCTGGGCACCCGGTGGCGTATAGCCGAACAAGCGCGGAAATGGCGGGGGGAAGTAAATGGCAGTGCCTGTAGCTGACTCAATCATCTTGATATTCTTGCGTCCACGTCCACATATCAGGGTATGCATGGTCAACTCCAGCTTCATGGTATCGACACATCGCTTAAGCTGTGATGGCATACCGTTAGCATGGAGCGCTAGCAGAACATCAGTGGGGCATCAAGAACTCACAATCTGGTCGATCATAATCAGCACTCGCGTCTTTGCGTGCTCCATGGTCTCGAGGTCTCCGTAGATGGCGCATCGAAGGCGCGGGTCGGCTCCGGTATCGATATTGCCATGGAAGCTGGCCGTCTCAATGTCTGGCTGCTTGGGCATGAGCAGGAATATGTCGGCCTTGGTCGCCTTGGCAATGAGATCGAGCTGGTTGAGCACAGCGCCCCGGACATTTTGCGTAGGCGGGTCTATGATGAGTTGCGAATCAATATCGACAAAGGATGATCGCTGTGCCAAGATGTCAGCAACGGCCCGACAGTTATACAAGTCTGAACGGGCAGCCTACCAGAGAAATGGGCGTCGAGTTGAGGATCCGGCAGCGCATCGAGTTGACAATCTCGAGTTCGCCAGACAGACAGACGTTAGTGACGAGGGCCCGCAACGGGCCCCGCTGCAGGCCAGGAAGCGGCTTGGACTCGGCAGACGTGACAACGGCGGACACGCGTCCGTCCGTCTGCTCGCTCACCTCTCGACACAGGTTGCGCAGGTTGTCGACGTTTTGGGCGTGTACAGGCAGTTTGTGTGTGGGCGTTGAATCTGCCGTGCCTTCCGGATGGGTCCATCGCGCTTTTGCCCCAGGGCTGGCCCACATGATGTCGTCCGGGTCGGGGCCAGCGAGATTGGAAGAAAAGGGCACGTTGAAGGACAGATTGACCTGGGTGCCGGGGGGTATGACGGGCGGGGTTGAGGTTGCAGTCGAGGGCCGCTTGATCGGAGCTGTGACGGGCATTTCGTGGTTGGACCTCGAGAACGAGAAGCCGGTCGAGGGGGTCATCTTCTCCCAGCCGTGCCGGGCTTGTGCCGGGAAATTTGAGAGTTTGTGCATGGTGGTGGAGGATACGCCCGGGGGAGTTGGCGGGCGTCGGGTGGGTGGGAGAGAGGGCAAAGGGAAGAAGGACGAGGAAGATGGGGAGCGCAGCAGCAGCTGGCGGGCGAGCGAGCGTCGAGCAAGGCGGAGCGGGCTGCTGATTGGCTGCACTCGCGATGGTGGGCCCCAGCGTGCCTCCAACACCAAAAGCAACCTCGCCCTGCGTGGCCACGACCAACACCGGCCGGTCCTCGCCAGCAGAGGGGGAGACAGAAGGGGGGAAGAGGGGGCTGGGAAAGACTACGCCCGTCGAGTGCAGTGGGTCGTTTGTGTCTCTTGCATCTGCTTTGTTTTGGCGTGTTGCATCATCGGCTTCCTGTTTGCATTCTTGGATTCCTCCGAGTCGAGTCGCCTGCTTGTTGAGCTGGGCTGTGTGGTGGGTGGTGGGTGGTGGACCGAGAGCCTGCACATCCTCGACCAAACAAGGATAGCTGGGCGCTCAGACTCGCTGCGTATTACACCATCATGGCCTTGCCGAGCAAGAATAGACATGACGCGGGACCCGGCCACCTCCCCTCGTCCCCGTGTCATAGTGTATACGAGCATCTATGTACACATGCACATGTACAAACCCCCTCACGCTCATAGCCATCCCGCCTCGACCGAGCCTCTTTGCGTGGCAAACAAGCATGGCCCGATGCATGAGAAACACACCGCGTGCCGGTGACGAAACAGGCTTGAGAGCAAGTCCAAGCGCCTGCACACGACACACTCTTCTATACCCCCCCATACACTACAACTACTTTATATACACACATACAACCTTACATACTTACACATGCGCCTATGTACACTGCTTGTGGCGCCCGTCCCTCTTCCCGCTGCTCCTCCCACTTGCACGCTTCCGACTATTACCTCCGCGCCCCTCTCCCCTGCCGTCCCATGACGGATGTTCACCCGCCAGCCTCATCTGGTATAACCACCCCTCTACTAGTCGGCCTCTACACCCGGCCTGCGTCACCCTTGCGCCACATCGCCCTGAAACACCCGCCTGCCCACTGCCAAGCCTACCCTCCATTTGCTCCCTCTCTCTTACTCTCCCTCACTTTGGAAGCCTTCATTTTTTCTATCATGGCACAATCCACAAGTACACAAGCGACTACAGCAGCCCTGGTAAGCCATGATGCATTGCTATCAACTAAACCTACCTTCTCTTCTTTCACATGCTGCGCCTTATCCAATAGCCCCGTCGTATTCACATTACAACACAAGCTACACAAGCTACACAAGCTACACAATCTGCCCAACAGCTAGTCAAAAAGCCCAAACCTTATAACAACACATCTCAGTACCGCGCATACACGTGACGCCCCTCGCCAGCATATGCCTCCGGTCCTACCTCCATGGGCCCCTCCTCGACGTACCGCCGACTTTGCGGCGCGCTGATATACTGGTGCTCCTCAAACGGCTCCTGGTACACAACACTGACTTCCCGGAACCGCGGTTGTTGCGACCCACGCACCGCCACTGGTTGTATGCTTTCATGCCGCACATAGCCCTCGGGTATCTCTCTTCGCACTCCCTCGGGACGCATACTGTATGATCGCGCTGGAGGATACTCTCGTGGAGGTCCCATCTCTTCGTACTGTGGCCCAGGTCGATGTTCCACTTCTATTGGACGACGAGACGCCTCTCGGTGACGATATGGACCCTCCATCATCTCTACTTCTGACGCTTCAACGTACCGTCGAGGTGGCGGCGGCATTCTCTGTATAGTCTCGCTTTCATACAACTCTGTCCGAGCAGGGGCGCGCATACTAGGCTCTTGCGTAACAGCACGCTCGTAAAAAGGGTCCACCTCAATGCGCCTACTTGGCGGTGCCATTGACTCTCGAGCATCCACTGGCGCAGCGTAGTATCGGTTGCCGTACTGGTCTACAACAATTCGGCGGGGTGGCGGGGCCATGAGCATTGGTGATTGCCCATGTGAGATGTATTCGTGCACAGGGGATCGCGACCGACCGTGGACGTATCGAGGTGCTGCTGGCGGGCGTGTAGACGCTTCTCGGTACACAGGTGGCGCTTCTGCGCGCTCGATGAAGGCATGAGATGCTGCCCGCATCTGACGTGGCTCTGACGCAACGTACATCTGCCCTTCGCCGCTAGGAGAGTATGGTCGTCGCGCATACTGTAGACTAGCAACCCGTCTAAGATCTTGATCGTCGCGCAGTGCTTTGCGTTGTGGTGTGCGTATGACAGTAGGAGACGAGGATGGCTCGTCAAGCTCACGGTAAGGACGTACAAATGGATCCTGCTCGCGATAGTAGATAGGTTGCGCTCGAGGACTTGCTTGCGCCGACACAACCTCCAAATCATCGGGCTGTGGCTGTAACGCACGACGCTTACTGGGCTGTGGATCAGAGTAGGATCCGAACGGAGGAGGTGATTGCGGCTCTTCTTTGATATAAGGCTCGGGAGATTGTGCAACCTGCTTGCTGGCTTGCTGTCGTCTCCTTTCTTCTCGTCTTCGCTTGCGAGGATTTTGACCAGATTGCCCTGGACCGGCTGGACTCTGACGGCGTGAACTATACATGCATTAGCATAATCCTAAACACTCTCAAAATATATGTGCCAGATACAGAGATACTGTAGAGCCTCCATTCGCTGTGCAAGGTATTTTCCAGGCCAAGGTACGGCTTCCAAAGTCGGATGGTACTCAGCAGCGGAGGATTGATGTCTCATGCGATCATTTGGCGTTGAATGTTATCCGGGATCCAGAACGGTTCAAACGACAATGAAGGAAAATGACGTAGATGAAAGAATTCAATATCATACCCGTTTGTTCCACCATTGCGATTGCGGCCCCGACTTCTCGGTGGTTCACTAGGACCAACATCGGCTGGAGGCGGAGAATAGTCCTCTTCTTCGTCACCGTCCTCATGCACTTGTGCAGGCTCAGGCTCATAGATTTCTATGTCATCAGCCGGCTCATAGGCCTCCTCGTCCAGATCGATCACTGGGGGCTGGGCGGGACGAGTATGGAGATTCACTTGCTTGGCAGTTTGTTGCGCCTGCGGGGTCAGTGGAGTTGCAGCAGCATGAGCATGGTCAGCGTGATCAGGCTCTGGCGACCAACTGTCTGCCTTGCTAGAATAATAGGAATTCTCGTCAAACGACTCGACACCATCACTGTTGTTAGCCGTAGATGGTAAGCCAGAAACAGGCGGAACCAGTTGGTGGGCCTTGATCAAACACTGCTCCACATCGATGAGAGCTTCTCGCTCGTCAACATCGTTGCCGCGACCCTTTCGGTCAAACTGATCCTTGAGAGCGCGTTCTATTTGTTGTCGCTTGAGCTGCTGCTCTGCCTTGACCAAATGTTCAGACTTTGTGAGCAGGACAGGATCGATGCCCGATGACGAAGACTTGGCCGAATATGGTCGCTGTGTAGTGTGGATTGGAGAGGTAGGGGGCCGCGCCGACAACGCTGGACGCGGAGGAAGCAGCTGTGACGAGGGTCCGTTTGGCGTGCCGTTGGTCGTGGGTCTGGCCAAGGCGGGTTGGGGAAGACGCGGTGCAACCTGTTCAATTACTTTGGCTGGGAGGTGTATACGCGGATGTTTGCTAGCGAAGACCTCGTCGCGTATCTGCAGAATCTTCTGGAGGAAATCAGCCTCGCGAAGCACCTCTGCAGATACCGCGCTGGCCCCGTTCAAATGCGACGACGGCGCTGTGGCTGTCGACGACATTGAAGCCATTTGCGCTGCGATTACAACAGAAAGGAAAGCCGAAAAATTAGTACCAGCACCAAGAAGCAAGCGCAGCGTTGGCGATTATACAAATATAGGCAGCACCCGCGACTGAGCTGGGTGTGGGGATTGATAAAGGGGAAGGGGGTCGACAGCGGCCAGCGGGAATGCAGAGAGATGGAGTTGCAGCGCGTCTTGGTTTTCAGTGATGCACGCGCCAATTCCAACTAGTCCTAAATGGGCGTGCTAGTCGGCCATGTATTCATCGCGCCTTCGATGACTGTAAAGGGAAGGACCGAGTTCCGATCCGACAGAAGTTCTTCGAAACGCTCTTCGGTACTCGTTTTCTGCATTAGTATAAAGAGGTATGACGACATCACATATCAGCACCGCCGTCTTGCTTCTTGCTTTGTATTGATCTTCCATACTCTAGTGCCACTCACTCCGACCACTATCTTTACTACTATTCTTGATTCTAGTATTGCCATTTCACAGAACATTACGAACCCACCTTCTCGACCATCAACCCCTAACTCGACACAATGCACTTCAACACCGCCGCACCGCCGGAGACCATGAAGTATCGGTCGCAACCCGCACATGACTCACCAGCGAACGGTACCGCTGTTGTAGACGAGAATGAGAAGCCCGTCTTCTTTTTCGATATTGACAATTGTGTAAGTAAGCCCTTGGGATTTGATCAACACCTACTGACTGTTATGTAGCTTTATCCAAAGAGTGCGTATTTTGTAGTACCCAAATTATTATACTCAACACTAACATAATCAGGTCTTGAAATCCACCGTATGATGAGCGAACTGATAGGTAATTATCCCTCTATATCAACTGAACTTCCATAATGCAGTCAGATGCTTTAACCTTCTGCTCGTATTGGGGAGTTTTGTGCTTTTCCTCAAACACCAGCTTAACTTTTACAGATAAATTCTTCCAAGACCACCTGAGTCTATCACAACAAGACGCCAATGAACTGCACTTCCGATACTACCGAGAGTACGGTCTTGCAATTGAAGGACTCGTGCGCCACCACAAGGTTGACGCACTAGAGTACAACAGCAAAGTCGATGATGCGTTACCTTTAGAAGACGTCATCAAGCCTAACCCGGAACTACGCAAGCTGATCGAAGACATTGATACCAGCAAAGTCCGCTTGTGGCTATTTACTAACGCTTACATCAACCACGGCAAGCGCGTTGTCAAGTTGCTACAAATCGACGATCTATTCGAAGGAATTACCTACTGCGATTACGGCTCGGAAAAGTTCTACTGCAAACCACATGCCGAGATGTTCGAAAAGGCTATGGCTGAGGCGGGTATCAAGTCGAATGAAAAATGCTACTTTGTTGGTGAGTTGGATTTGAGAAACGAGCTTTCTTCGAATGTCATTAACGTCATGTCAAGACGACTCGTACATCAACTGCAAAGCGGCTCAAGAACGAGGATGGAAAACAGCACACTTGCTGGACGAAAAGGATCCAGCGCCCGAAGTACCCGCCAGCAAGTACCAGATCCGCAGTTTACAGGAATTGCGCAAGATTTTCCCCGAGGTATTCAAGAGCTTGTAGGAAAGAAGAACTTGAGTTAGAATCTGGAGGGTATACCTGATCATAGAACGAGAGTACCGACGTCTTGCCAACATCGGAAACCCCATACACCGTTAATCAAGATCTGAAGATATAGAATTACACACAGAAGGATACAGTCAATACAAGATTCATCACAAAGGTTGTGAAGTGGTCATGAAAGCTTGTTTATATTATCTAAGCTGGAGAGCATCCTCCCGCGGCACGTACCGGCACATGGTCCCAACCCGCTTGTTCGTGCTCAAACATGTAAGGAGCAAACACGTGTGCTCATACACCTTACGAACCATTTACCACCCGCTCACCGACTATCTACTCCACGGGAAACACGAAAAAAAGTCGCGTCCACTTCAACACCACCCATGTCTCCACAGCCTACCAAACACTACCAAGTCATGTCCGCACCCACCACAACCACCACCCCTTCCGACCCACCCGCCCCGCACTCTTCCGCTCTCCCCCCTTCAGACTCCTCCTCCAACGACGCATCCTCTTCCCACGCCACTCTCACCTCCCACCCCAAAGTAACACCCCCACGCACCCCCCTCCTCCGCCTCGAACTCCGCGACCTCTCCAGCCCCGGCACCCACACCTTCCTGCGCCTCCTCCACGCCTCCGACGCCCTCTCCACCGCCGTCACCACCGTGCTAACCCACCTCTACACCTCCCTGCCCGCCACCAGCATCCCACCCACGCGCTCCGTAACCCTCGTGCTACGCGACATGGACGGCGTAGCCTACACCACCGGACTAGACCTAGATTCCGACCACAAGGAAATACACTTCAACACGTCGTACATTGCGGGCATCGACGCGGGGCGCGTGAAAGAAGAGATGGTGGGGGTCCTGGTGCACGAGATGGTGCATTGTTGGCAGTGGGATGGGCGGGGGGCGGCGCCGGGGGGTCTCGTGGAGGGGATTGCGGATTGGGTGCGGTTGAAGGCGGGTTATGCGCCGCCGCATTGGAAGAGGCATGTGGATTGTGAGTGGGATGCTGGGTATGAACGTACGGGGTATTTTCTGGCGTGGCTAGAGGAGGCGCATGGGAAGGATGTTGTGAGGAGGATTAATGAGGGGTTGAGGGCGGAGAAGTATGATGAAGAGAGGTTGTGGAGCGAGTGTTGTGGGAAGGGGGTTAAGGAGTTGTGGGCGGAGTATAAGAAATGTTATGAGGAGGAGTGTAAATAGGGATGAGGGCATCGGCGACGAGGGTTCGAGTATTTGGGTTACTCGAATGGCGTCGAATTAACCATGCCTCATTTATGTTTAGATTTGGGCCACAGGTCATGTCTCATACGCGCAGTTGATGAATATAATGTCCTTTACGTACTACTGAGCTATCTACAAGCCGCACTATATACACCTCTCGAGGGACCTTGCGTTATACCATATCTTGCTGCTCCCGTTTAGCTTGTGTACAGCTTGTTTTACTGTTGACCAGTAACAATGCCCCCTGGTGGTGGTACTGGCTGTCCTTGGGTGCCAATATCCTCTTCTCCACTGCTACCCGTCCTTTCCGTGGGCTTAGTTTCCGTCGTAGGCTCTTTGGGCTCTCCAATACCATCCGGCTTCGGCGGGGTTTTTGTACCTGGTCCACCGCGTCTCTGCCAGTCAAGCCATGAGCCACGGTATTCACCAACGTTTTGATATCTGTCTTTTGTTAGTTCTAACAGTCTTCAACCTGATATATCATTCTCCATCCATAGGAGTTTGTCACTTCACAAGAGGATCAACTCACCCAGCCTGTCTCGCAATACCGGCCGCTGCCGAACTCCTAACCCCCGCCTTACAGAAAAACACAACCTCTTTGCCCTTAGGTGGCTTCTGGAACCCAAAGCGATCCTCGAAGTCTTCCTCGCTTAGGAGTAGCGCATCTGGCTGCGATGTAACGGGGATGTTGATGGAGGTAGGGATAGTATTGGCCTCGAATTCATGGGGTTCGCGCACGTCGATGAGCAGTCGAGAGTCAGAGGGGTGTTCGAGAATGTGAAGGACCTTTGAAAATCAAATAAATACTCAAGAAACAAGAAAAAAACCATGAAGAAGCTACGTACATCCTCAAACTGGTAGACTTTGTTTAGGTTGGGTGGCTGTTGCGAATGCCATCTCTTCTGTACAGGCGCCAATTGCACACTGGGGGTATTCTCCCAAACTGACAACCTGCTCTTAGAAGTGCTTGTGCTTTGCTGGCGCAACGCAAGGCTGAAAGCTTGTATAGCATTGAAGCGCAATCGCGAAGTTTGTCGACCTATGACCGAGGCATGTGCGCGGACGCCGAGTTGAACCGCGCGTTTGGAAGCCATTGCTGCTTTACAATGCAGCGAATTAATTAAAGAATTATGTAGGGGATCGTGGCTCCTAGTCTAGAAGATTTGGTGTGCAATATGTTTTGTGAGCAGAGACAATTGATGATGCAACCCGGAGCAGAGCGTGCTAGTCCTCGGATGTAACGAAATTAAATCCCGACGTCACTCTTCGCGAACGCTGGGGCAATATGCATATATGCGCTAAGCCCTACGACAGGGCTAACATCCTTGGGCGTATGCAAACCATTTCGAGGGCAGACAGTGGCACTGGCGCAAGGAAGCTTTCCGTCAAAAGGCTGGGCAATGCGTAGTTGAAGAGGTGAGTAGATATTCGTACCAACTATGTTTACAAGTACTAGCTAGCAAGAATCTCGAGTCCATCAAACAGTCCTATACTCCTGCCATGTGGTAGCGCCATTCAGCAATGCCGGCGTAAGTGAAACGAGAAGAGTAATGGGGTATTAGACGCCTTCGAGGGACCGTATTATGAAAATTTAAAACCAAAAAACCAAAGATTGAATGTTTCCCATGAATGCATCAAGACCGCAATCAGGCTTACTCATTGTGCTCAACGTCCAAACCACGCAACTTTTGCGACAGCAAACCCGCACTGGGGGGGCTGTTCGGACTGCTGATAGGAGAGAACGCGTTTCCGCCGTACCCAACATCGCCTTTGTTCAGTTTTTCAAAGGCACCGTCACCGTGCGACGTTAAGCTCTTGCCACCAGGGCGCGGAGACGTGACTGGAGTTCTGAAGGGGCTCTTCGGATCTACATCCATGTGGTCTCGCGAGACGGGTCGTGATTCAATTGCAGCCAATCGACCAATATTGAAAGGTATAGGCTGCATATCTGGTATGTGCGAGCTGAAACTGCTCGATGCAGATGAGTTTGTAGTACCACCTGTGAATTTGACAGCTATAGGAGGCATTGGCGCATGGTGGCTCAAGCCGTCAAGCTGATCGTACGTTTGCTGTGAATGATAGCGTGGCCATCCAGCACTGCGACGACGCAAATCTCCTTCGTTGGTGAACTGGGGTCCAGTGGACGTAGTTTTTTGTGATACCAACAAGTCGCGTGTTGGTTTATAGGTACTGTACCTTGGCTCTGGCTGTTGGATCTCATTTCTTAGTTTCTCCTTACCGTCAGGGACTCTGTTGGCAAAGACGACTCGTATACTTTTATATAGGTAATAACGACCTTTTGACGGACAACATATATGCAAGTGAATCAAGTAACGGAGAATCGGGCGATCGTTGGGGTCATCCGAACCGCTGAGGGCAGCTTCTGGACGATCAGTACCGAGGTTTTTCCGTGAAGAAGCGGGCATGTCTATTATGGGACCGGCAGAATAACTGCGCTGTCTGACAAATGTTTTCTGGCCTGGTTCCATGTCTGACACGTCGTATGGGACTAAGAACAGCTTCACTGCCGTCTTGTTTGGGTTCTTCAAAACAATCTGAAGTTGACCCTGCGGAGGAATTCGATAACAGCCCCCAGGAGGTGCTTTTGGTGACGTGGATCGTCGCTTTTTCTTTTCTCTCCGACGAAGATCTCCTTTTATAGCCTGTGCATTTTCTTCGTCACCAAGTTGTATCCGAAAATCTAGGTCATCTTGATCTGGAGCAGGTGCGGCGTGTCGTCGCTTGCGTTTGCCAAGTTCGTTGCTTTCGTCAGGAGCGGGTAGTGAATTTTCCAAATCTATGAGGCCAACATAGGGACTTGGCTCATTATCTGAGATCCTACCGTTTCCTGTATTGTAGCTGTAGAAGACTGCAGGAAACGGAATTGTGACGTGAGGTGGGCACTTGAGGCTTGATTTGCATTGCCCTCGTCCGAGAACGCCAATTTTCGCCACAAAGTCAAGGGGCCGTGATGGGGTGGTAGACATGCGTCCCCGCAATATAGACTCTTCGTATGAGCCCACCATGGGTGCGTGCTGGAGTGGAGATGCCTCGGATGAGAATGAAGGCCGTCGCGGGTTGAGGAATTGTGGCTGAGAAAAGGATTGGGGTTCTGAGTGATTGATTGTCGATGACCGCCGAGGTTGATGCGCTTGGTATGGTATCGAGCTGCTATAGCGTAGATGACGAGCAGCGGGTGTTCCAGTTGTAGAGCGCGCCATGTGGGTAGACTGATAGCCGTGGTAAGACGCAGGAGAATATGTGTGTCGGCGATTGTTCCTACTAGGGCTTGGAGATGTCTGACGTGAGCTCGGCCTAGAAGAGAAATCCAAATCTGTATTATTTGCCTCATGTACGAGCGGGCTTGTGGGAGGCAAAAGCGTTATCGAACTAAGCGATGACCGTGATGTCGTTCGTGAGCGCGGGGCTGTGCGATTGTCGCGGTTGCGCGGGTCAACGTATGAGACGTCATGCCGGTTCACATTGTACGCCGCCGAAGGAAAGGAACGATCCCATGGAACGACTGGAGATGTTGCGAGGAAAGCTGAAGCTGAGACGTCATTGCTCGAAGCGCACCCTGCTGGCTTCTCTCTAAAGTCACCGGAGTGCAATGCGGACCGGGGACGCTGGATCTCTAGACCTGCGGCTGCGGGGTCCCGCAAGTATTCGGGAGTGGAGGGTTGTGAAGATTGCAAGTCGGTAGCAGGGGCGAGAGGGGTCCTTGAGCGGTCACGGGAATTGGGTCGGATGGGAGCATCGGGGTCGGTTGTGATGTCACTCTGAGGGAAAAGGGTCAGCGATGTGCTTGGTATGGCAATGACGAACCTTGTAGCGACAATGCCCTCCAGGCGACTCAATACTCACACCCTGCCACTGCAGCCAGGACGGGCTGTTTGTCTTTTTGATTCTCTCTACCCATTCTTTCCGGCCGAATATGGACGACTTGCGCGTTTGGCTGGGCGACGCGGGGTCCGCGTCGAGCGATGATTCAAGTGTGGTCGGTACTTGTGCATGCATACTGGTCTTCCACGCCCCCTCGGCATCCGATTCTGCGGTTCCTACTCTTCGGAGGGTGGATGTCACCGGCTCAGGCAAGTTTGATGGCGCCCGCAGGCTATCACTGGGCTCATGAAATATGGGCATGGTTGAAGCAGATTGTGGCAATGGACGGCATAGGCACGGGTGCTGAGCAGATCAGAGCATACAAACGAATGTGTGTAGGCGCGAGACGGTTGTGAGAGCACGAGGATGAGGGTTGAAATGTCGCGATGGCGGAGATGGCCTTGTTGTCGCGGTTGGAGCACCTGCTGGCCCGGCGAATGGTATGAGTAAGAGTTTCCAGTTTAACCCGGGTGCGCTGGCTCCAGTGGCCGTCTCATTGCGCAGGCATGGAGCCCGGTCTAAGACGAAACGCCGTGGAGCCCGGGAGGTGGGGGGTGCAGAGCGAGAGAGAATGAGTGAGTGAGTGGCGCAAGGGATGGACGGATGACGAGGTGCGAGAATTGTCCCGAGGTGGTGCGTATATATGTCATTGGCGCTGATAGATAAACTATGTACGTCGCTGGTGCGGCGGCGACTGCTGAGGCGCTACATCGGGCGCGGTCACACGACGAACAAAAGAACAAGTTTTGAGAGCATTGGTGGCTGCACGTGCCCACAGCAGGAGCAGAATGGCTGAGTCTGTGTGGAAGAAGCACGGCGATGGATAGGCTTGGGACACGAGGGACTTTGACTCTGCGATGTATGTATGCAAGTACACATGCATTCACATCACATGCATGCTACCACATAGCACTCACACCCTCGTCTCCCCCGCCGCCGCCGTGTTCGCGGCCGCACTGGGCTCCGCTTTGCCAAGCCCGACGGACCTCCGCGCCATTTTGCCTTTCCCATCTTAGCCTTTACCCATCCAAACTTTTGCGACACCACAAACACCTTTGGCCATGGGCGCAACACGACCGCATGAGGGCGGCGCAAAGCCGTCTTCAAAGAGCAAGGACACCAAGAAGAAGAAGGGTTTCGCCATTGGGCCTGCAAATCTGCCCGATGGCACACACAGAAGAAAAAGTAAGCGCTTCTCATTTACATCCCTGCAGCGCACTAGACATAGTCGGCGCATCAGAATACCAGACATGCTTTCGCAGCGTGCTCTGCGCCTCTTTTGCGCCTTCAACCATACTACCTTCTGCAGCTGCTAATTGTGACTTCAGTTGAGAAGATCAAGAAGAGCCTCATAGACAAGGCCAAGATCAAGAAGCAATACGCCAAACTCAAGGCACGCGAGGAGAAGGAAGCCGTCAACCCACCCAAGTCAGTCTATGACCGCGAAGCCAGCACCGAGCAAGGCGAAAAGGTTTCCTCCGAACCCACTGCTGAGCCCACTCTGGAGCCACACCCCGACCGTGCTGTCCTGCTAGAGGAAAAGTCGCCTGAACCAGAGTACCAACAGAACTTCGAGAGGCGTCAACGGCGACCGCGCCCCCAACCTTTCCAGAAGGAAAGCGAACTAGCGCAAAAGAAGAAGGACGAGGCTGAAGCGCGCCGGAAGGCCAAGGAAGAGGCCGACAGGGAGCGTGCTAAGAAGGCTGCTGAGCGAGAACGCTTTAGAAAAACAATGGCAAAAGCAAGGGGAGGTCCAAATGGCCAGCGAAAGTTGGGTCGCGAAAGTACTGTCCTGCTTGCAAAAGCACAACGGCTCATGGGCAAAACCTGAAGCATCTTGCCCAAGTCTTCGAGTGGTTGAGCGAGTATACACACTAAATACTGCTGTGTCATGCTGCATATACAACCTATCCTTCGGCCCTGACAAGGGACGCTAGGTCCAAGCGTGGAGACTCGTCTCGAGGACGAGTACAAAAGGGCGTGTTCTTACAAAAGATGATTGGATAGCATGTGCTCATCGTCTGCAGTCATATATCTGCTACATTCGGCGTGCAAATCCGGAGTAATACCGCAGTGTAAACTCTCCCGTGGCGGCACCTGCCGAACAAGGTCCTTTCCCCGCACCAGGTGTACAGGCACCAAACTCTATCTTCAGTCCTGCTATCTAGGATACACGGGCACTAGTTTCTTGCGTTTTGTGCTTTCGAATCAA